GGAGTCACACACAGGCCCGGGAAGAAATCAGACGCAAACTTCGTGTCAGTCAGTCATTCACCGCTTCTTTGTAACTTGTTATGTGTGTGTGCCGCAGATTAAGATAAAGTACTGATTTGAAGTTATATTCAGAAGTGGATCAGCAATAAGCAACTAAAAGTGTGTGAAACATAATTAAATATAGATTTTAATTGTGCTTGGATAGTATGTGTTCTTTCTTCATTCTTTGAGTTGTGGCCCGTCAAGGCTCTGGGATAAGAGGACTCAAGCTCTACCGGACCAACAAAACCCACATCCTCAATAAATTAATCCAAAGATCAAAAAACCCTGAGATTTAGCGCAAGAAAGAACAGCGAGAGCGACCAACGTGTGCGGGCGAGGTGAAAGAGCAATTAATAAGAACAAGGTAGGTGAAGGTGTTAAATATAAAAAGTGAGAAAAGGGAAAAGGAGGCCGGAACGGTTAGACCAGATCTAGGTACAATAGGTTCTGTCCCTTCTAGATAAGGCACCAAAAAAAAAAAGGATACTGAGTTACTGTGTTATTATATGTACTGACCATTTGGTATTTTTATTTCTTTTTATATTGTTAATAATTTTATTTCAGAACAGAAGTTTTCGTGGTCCACTTAACATTCTCCATGGCCTTCAATTTTTACGACTTCTGCCCGTGGACCCTCCTGAAATAAGGCATTGACCCCTGGGGACCCATATGGCTGCCGTTGAGAGCCACTGGTCTAGCTTACGTAGCATGTTGATATGAGTTCAGAAATGCATTAGCATGCTGCGTCACAAAGATTTTGGTGTGAATGTACTCGAGTAGACATCTGCAGAACGTTCACCGCAGGAGGATCGATACTGCCCGGGTCTAAAACTGTTGTGCTACACATGTTCCTCTGGGGGAGGGGACAACTGACAGTATAGGGAACCCCGTCGGTAGGAAAACAATTTCAAATTTTGAAAGATGGATAACGTTTCAGAATCCGTAATACTCGTACATTATCTTTTATTTATGCTCTTTATCATTTACATGCCGATTATTTTGTTTCGTTATGTTTCTTTGAACAGCTTCATACAGCCTTGTATGTAATTAATTACAAGAAATTACTTACAGTACCTTAGGAGCCGGGATAGCGTAGTCGGACGACCGAGGGGTCGGAGTTCGAGTCCCGGTAGGGTCAAGAATTTTCACTTCTCCAATCGTTCAGACCGGCTCTGGGGTCCACCCAACGTCCTATACAATCGGTACCGGGCGTAAAACGGCCGGGGCGTGACGCTGACCACTCACCTCCAACTAGTGTCGAGGTCAAGAAAATGTGGATCTGTACATCTACTCCCCCATACGCCTTCATGGTGTAGTGCTTAATTAGTTAAGCACAGGGACTTTACCATTACCTTTTTTTTTTCTTGGCACTACAGTCCCAGTGGGCCTAGGCCTACCTCCATGAACTCCGTTCACTTCGGTTTTTCTAGACCTCACACATGCGGTAGGACTCCTTGGGCGAGTGATCAGCTCGTCGCAAGGCCTCTACCTGTAGACAAACACAGAAAAACGCACACAAACATCCATGCCCTGAGTGGGATTCGAACCCACGATCCCGGCTTCCGAGCGAGCGAAGACAGTGCACGCCTTAGACCGCTCGGCTACCGTGACCGGCCAACTTTACCTTACAGTACCTTAAATACTTATAAGTACCGTAACATGACGCTCAAATTCATATCATATTTCGTAAATTTCGTTGTCTGAAAACTGCTTAACTGTCTTGAGACAGATTTTCTTTCGAATAATACTATATTTTTACATTTAACGTCGTCCGGTAGAAGTTCACTGACGTTTCGGAACAAAGCAGATTAACTTCTACCGGACTACGCAGAGTTGCTTCCAGCACTGTGCATGTCGCCGCTCGGAGAACCTCAGATCCATCATATGATCCTTTTGACTGAAACAATCACATAGATTCATCCCGTGTGCAGCACGATAAGAATGCTTGGTGTCTGGTGATATATGGTTTGTTTGAAAATTACATGTACATGTCAATACTGTATCAAGTACGTAGTCATTCAGCTGCAGCAACAAGCCACCTGCTTTTCAGGTTATTCAATGGCGCAGCTAAAAACTTCTGTAAATTGGAGGTTTAACCGTCCTCCCTTGAGGCTTCCTGCCCACAAGTTGGTTGCCACCTTTTCTTACCGTCCGTCTTGTTCACCTTACGTTCGGCGTCACTTTGACTGCCCTACTTGGTGGTGCCGCTGTTGAAGTTGTTGGGGCGTGGCTGGTTCCGGCTTGACGAGGCTCCACCGCTTCTTCCGGCTCCACCGCTTCTTCCGGCTCCACCGCTTCCTCCTTCCGTTGCTGATTACGGGGGTTGGAATTTCAGGATAGGACCTGATGTTATGGGCGCCAGCAAACAGCTAGGTGCGGTTTGCGATTCATTATAAAGGAGGGAAGGCGTGAGTGGATGGAAGCTGGCGATGGGTTTGACTAGCTCCTGGCGATGAGTCTCTCCTCAGGTCGGCTACGGGTCAGGCTCGGACAAGTGAGGGTGAAGCACTTCTAACCAACACAATGCACTGTACCACTAGAACACTTTATTGTTTCTTACAGTCACTCGGCGGTATAAATCCACACAATCAGGCCTAGTTTCGGCTTCCAAGCAGCCGGTGTTGCACTTGCTCAAATTACCCGATCAGGTCGACTTACCACCGTCCGCTATGGATTAAGCTAGATCTCTTTTATGTTATGGTCAAATTTTGCACTTCTAAGAATTATTTAACTTATCAAGCAAGTATAATCGCGGGGTTTGCCTCCAACAAGTTCGAAAGTTTGTAGCAGACTCCTAATCTTAAAGTGGACTCTCTGCCGAGCCAGAGGTCCTAACTGCGTTGTATCCGCCTCTTCTCTCCTCCTGCTAATTTCCCGGATAGGCTGTTTCAAATAAGGGGAGTTGGCTTAATTTTGGTTCCGGCCAATGACCGATTGTTTTAGAGGGAGTTTCGGCCTAAAATACCAAACGGCGAAATTGACAGCGATGCAACTTATGAGGGGTCGCTAATGATCTCCTGGCACTCCCACTTTTGACTTACGGCTGGTGGAGACTGTCACTTCTCGAATTCACAAAGTGGCTTGCCGTTGTAAGTCAATTTCTCAATTTCTAAAGAAACTCAGTGGGGTTCCTTGAAGTATCATTTCTGCCCTTTTCGAAAACAACACCAGATGCTTGGACGCAAGGACTAGCAGATGTCCTTGTCCGCGCAAGTTCGGTCTATCTGCTCGTTCTGACTGTGTGTCTTAAACCTATGTTTCTTCGTAATTCTTATTGTCTACTTGATAAGCTACTGAAATAAAAAGAGGGGGGAGGGGAAGGATTTCAATGGTGCGGTTACAGAGGTTCAGGTTCTTCAGTGCTCTTCGAGGAAGACTGTTTCATCTCTACTCATTAATTGACGAAAGAAGAAACTGTAAATTAAAATAATTATGGAATTAAAGTTTGTATTAATTTGAACAGTTGCACACGCGGTAGAGTAGCTGGTTGAGGTACTATGCTACAAGCCGGGAGGTCGCGGGTTCGATTCCCGATGAGGTAATTGGACTTTTTTCAATTTACCTAATCCTTCCAGCCGCACTATGCCCCTGAGATCGACTAGGCCTCTAACAGAAATGAGCACTAAGAATCTTCCTGGGGGTACCTGTGAGCCGATTCCTGGAAAATGTGGGGAATTCGACGAAATCTACGGGCCTCCACGGCCAATTACAGGGATGGTTTCACCTTTTTATAATCTGAATAGTACTAATAATTGGACTTCATTATTTCAACACTAAAATAGAGAAATCATCAAAGTACTCCTGCTTCATATTTGGCAGTTCTTGGATTCGACTCTCGGTTCGAATGCTGACTATTCTGATGGAGACCATTGTGGTTCACTTCATTCCCACCGTGAGCCTGAAGGTAGGCCTTAATCACTTCGTTCCACACTTTTCCTCGCTCACATGTCTAGAACCTCTGACGCAGTAGGGAGGGTTGGAATCTGAGGCCGTAATGACACGGGACTCGGCTCATCCTGCTATGTTATCTATGACTACAACACACAGTGTATAATACGCATGACGGGGCACAAGTTCATGAAATCCGGTGGCCATCAACCGTGAAATATACTGAACCCCCCCCCCCAGATCCATGTTAAATAACGGCACGTTCACACACACAGCGACATCGACCATACGGTTTATGTCGCATGAAGTAGTAGAATATAAAGTGTAGTCTTAGCTTTCATATGTGACGACATGCGACATCTACCGTACGGCACTCGGACTAAACCACACGGACTGCGACAGCCGTCCGACTGTCGCAGGCTCAGTGGGTGATGCCATCCAGTTCTGTGATTCACATTACGCGACTTCATCCGTACGAACCCTTGGTCTTCTGTTTCGCGTTATTGCATTAGTTCTTATCGTTGTATTGTTGTTGCGAAATTGGTGAAAATGAGTGGCATTGATGTTAACAAGGAATTGTTAATAGCGTTGATTGAAGAAAAGCCAGTATTATGGGATAAATGTGATGAAACATACAAAGACAGAAATGCTACGAAGGAAGCTTGGAATGAAGTTTGTGTGGGGCTAAAAGAAGATTTCAAAACATTAAAAGACTCCGAAAGAAATGTATTTGGTAAGCAGGTACACTTATTACTTTCACAGCATATCTGGCCACGCCATAGCTCAAGCGGTTAGTCGATGGCTTTCCACCGCGGCGGCCCGGGTCTGGTCAAGTGGGATTTGTGGTGGACAAAGTGGCGCTGGGGCGGGTTTTCTCCGAGTACTTCGGTTTCCCCTGCCAATCTTCATTCCACCAATTGCTCCACAATCACCTTCACCTATCATCTGGAGCTGGTACAATAGGCTAGAAGTGGCCGCAGTACAAGGGACTTAGTCCCACCACACTAGCATTAAAAAAAATCACAGTATATCTGTATTTGTTGAACAACGCTATAATGAAGGTATGAAACTAAGGGAACGAATTGAGTGTACGTAGCTGAATGTCGTATTTTTAACAACTGCCAGGGAACAGCTCCAACACCCTCAAAATATTCAGATAATATTTGTCTTGTATGGTTCGCCGAACGCGTACCATGCGTCTCGCTCTCTGGTGGCAAGTCGTCCAACGTTGATATGTTTGTGGTAGCCTCTACCGAAGTTTCTTCGATCGGTAATCCATCTCTGTCCCTTATGAAATTATGTAAGACCACACAAGCCTTCACAGTGTCAATTCCAAAATCCGGCTCAACATTAATCGCTCTGTGTAAGATTCGCTACTTGTTACTAAAAATTCCGAAAGAGCATTCAACAAACCTACGAGCTCTGATCAGGCGAGAGTTTAAAATATTTTTTTGGTCACTTAGCTGTGACTCACAAAAAGGCTGCAATAAGTGCTTATGTAGTGCGAAAGCCTCGACTTTGACGCTGATCATTCTGAGCCCTTATTTATTTGGATGATTATAGATGACCATGAAATTTATTTCTAATTAATTCTCGGTAATTTTAATTTCAAAAGTCTTATGTTTCGATATTACTGGAACTTTAATGTGATCTATAATATTGTATTTTATTGTCTGGGACGTGCAATACGGGTTTTATGTTGAAATTTTCTGGATTCTGGCATGACCAAGGAGTCCGGAATTCTGACAAACGAGCAGTCATAAATTTAGCTCGGGTACAGGGAACCGGACGCGCCTAGAAGGAAGGTCAATGAGAAGGACAGGTCAGAACTTGTTACAGTTGCCTGTGAATGAGGGCCAGTATGATTGAGTTGCCTCGTTCAAGCTTCCTTACGGAAGATGGGATGACATGTATATGTCCACACCATGGAGAATTCGAATACTTTCGAATTCCCGGCGTGGGGTGTGCAAGCCATTCCACAAAAGGGAGACTTTCACCATGTTCCGAAGTGAACGGACGTGAACCTTGCACGCTCCGAGGCCTAGCTTGCAGATCGTGTAACGCTATAACTTAAAGCATACATAAAATTAACAGTGGTTTGGAGAACAAAAAGCTGAATAAACGTCAATTGGATCATGTAACATGTAGTGCAAGAGAGAAGAGTAAGGTGAATAAATGTATGCACTGTAAGACGGGTCACAATAAATCATGGACAATTGGATCAACTCCCAGAATACCGCTCGCTTCGGCATCGCTACCCTGAGACTCATGCAAACCGACCCAGCTAGTTTCCCGTACCTATACCGATCTTCCTTAGTTTGATCTGTGAGGACAACTTGCAGTGGCCATCATACACTGTCCTAAGGTGGTAACAGGTATAGCAGGGATAGCACCATTCCGACTGAGCTGAAATTCAAAGAAAGGCGGGTTGGAGAAGAGCGGTGTTAACTTATTATTCGAACGTGCTTTCCGTCTACCGCTCCAATGCAGTTGGGGAAATTGGCATTTCTTTGAAACTAGAAGCGATAGATTTCCATTTTTCCTTGGTAGGTAGAGGAATGCATACCGATCGCATGACAGACCACATGGCTCGGCATATATCTCGGACGATGGTCCTTGCAGTTGAAACGCCAGTTCTGAATGTGTAATATAAGTCAGGAAAATTGCAGCCAGTGGCAACGTACCTGAAAAAAAGAGAGTATTTCTTATTAAGTGTGGATACTTTTTTGTATCTTTAGTTAGTTATTCAATAGTAAAACTCTTCATCCAATTACTTTCATTTATTTGTTATGTAATTAATTTTTTCTTAATTAATTTTAATTTACTTGAATTTCATTACAGTAAAAGAAGTTCTAAAAATATGAAGAAATATCAGAGACTCTTACGCTAGAACTCGTAGAAAAATAAATACAGACAAAACTAGCGCAGCTGGGGCATTCTTTACGAGGAAATGCTTGTATGCTGAACAACTGCAGTTCTTGTCTAAACTGGATTGTGAGCGCGAGACACCAGACAGCCTATACAGTGACAAATCCCCCGAGGAAAACTTGATTTACCACCTGCCGACCAGGAAGCTGCATGTTTTAAAAAGCCATCTCCCAGAATGGGATCGACAAAACGTCGCGATCGCGTGCCAGATCATGTAGAAGTGAGACTGCTGGCAGCGCTAGAAAATGAAACACCAAACAGGCACTTGTCTTTCTTTAAAGGTGTTATTCCTTCTCTTGAGAAATTTGACGATGATGATGTCATAGAATTTCAAATGGGAGTGTTGCAACTTGTGAGCAACATCAAACGACGCAAGCGAATGAACACCTCCCAATGTGGCTCAATGTCCACGTGTGAAGGGTGACACTGGGACCTACAGCAACCGTCTCCGCAGGAGAATTACAGAAGAGTGACAACACCATCACAACAGTGTGCATCCCAGTGCTATCAGAATTTCGGCGGCCAACTCACTCAACTAACTCCTATTTCCTACACTGAAAGTTGTCCTTCCCCTGCGTCGTCTACTTGTTCTAACTCAAGCAGCACTTCCGGTTCGTTTGATTTCTGCTCACAATAACTTGCAGACAAGGCACTTTTTATTTAGTATTTTTATAACTTAAAAACATATTTTCCAACATTTCTAGATGTTATTCTTTGTAACCAGTACGTTCTAAAATTTGTAAAACAAACATTATTTCAACATCTGAAAAGAATATAATTTAACTTACCTTTGTAACGTCTTTACTCGGCGCCGGTGGGAGGTGGCAGGTCCCGCCGCCGCCGCGTACTCCTCACTAAAAACTCTCATTTTGGCCACTGAGAGTCAGGGGTTCGTCTTGGTGCAGGAGCTGACGCTGAAGCCCAAGATTAAACAAACCACACTCCACACGTTGATAGTAATACTAACCAAGTTTATTGAAGAAAAGAAATTACAGTAAGTTTGCTTTAAGAATGACGACCCTCGCCTCAGGCGAGCTGTGTTGTGTCTGCCACGCCTAGGGCTTTGTTCCCAAAGAGATCATCACGTGCTACAGTTTTTTTAGGTGGCTATGCAGCCTCGCATGGATCCAGTAGTGGGGCCACTGGTCGTATGTCAAAGCTTACGGGTGAAGGGGTGAGGCTGCGTGCCGATCTTTCTAGCTCCAAATAACACTGCGTGTGGTCTCTTTAGGACTGCTTATATTAAGGGTACTCTTAATACTAAAAGGTTATATATTCGAAAAAGTTACAATAAGTGAGTGGGGGTCATATATGACACCTTATTGCAACAGCAAGCATATGTACGTGTGGAATACAGTTCCTCATTTTGGTGTTTTGGCGTTGAATGGTGTTCTTCAGTAGGGCACTCATCTCATCTCGCCTTTGATTGGTTGGATGCACCCAGTGCAATCTTTCCTGCTGCCTCCGTTTTTCTTTTCGGCGTCGGTGAAAATTCCACATAGCAAGCACGCGCTCTCGGTCCAGCGTTCATTGTTCCTTCATCAAAACTGCCATTCGATGCGGATAAAGTCGCTCTAGTGTGAAGAGGAGGTCGTACGGGGGAGGAAAAAAAAAGGGGTACATTCTTCGTACGACCGATGTGGCTGTGTGTGAACCGTCTTTCGGTGATGTTTACAAAGACAATTCTTTTGCCTTCAGAGGAATCGGAGCATGACGGTTATTCCACTGTGTACAGTGCAGAGGAGCAGGACCCCTACTAAGCCAGGCGCAGGTCACTTGCTGCCTATTTGGAGGGCGAAACATGAAACCTTCACGGAACAACGTAACAGTGTAGTACCTTAAATCACACAAAATTGGGTCAATTCTTTTCCTTACACGCAGTCAAGGATAGAACTCTTCTCCTGTGTAGCTGATAGTGACGAAACACAGGTAGGTTAAGTTCTGCAGTGTTCTATTTGCCGAAGAGAAAATTAGGATCTGAAGGAGGTTAATTACCAGGGACCATTAAGTTCAAGGATCATGTCCCCCTTAGCTTAGAATTCGAACTTGTCATAATACATTGTACTCACATTGCTCGAGACGGTCTTCGATTTGATTTTAAGCCTCCACAGTAGGACTATGTAATTACGAAAAAAAAGTGATTTAGTACAAATCATTCAATGTTACAAACTGTTAAAATCACGATGTATAACAAATAATCGTTAATTAAAAATTAACTTATGTTGAACTTAAGTGGTCAGAGTTCCTGGTTACAGATCCAGAGGGGACCTGGGTTCGATTCCAGGCCCTACCAGATTTTCTGAAAAGTAGTGAGTCTGGAACGGGGTCCACTCAGTCTCGTGAGGATAACTGAGGAGTAAATAGCGGATTCGGTGTAGAAAACCGAGATTAACGGAGGGTGGGGATCCGTTGTGCTGATCACGCGACATCCTCTATCCGCCGAAGTTTTCACTAACTTCGCCGAAAACCGGCGGTCGCTCGGTCCGTATAGTTCTCTTGCGGACTAAAACCACGGAGTTTTGAATTAAACTTAAGGCCGGACATAATTTATTTGCTCAGTCTTCATATTACGTATAATTATAAGAAAATATTTGCACGTTACCTTAACCCTATAAAATAACTACATTACAAACATCTCTGCAACAAACACATCTGGAGTATAGCTTAAATAATTACATGTAGCAGATTCCGTCTTGGAAAGCTGACATAACTTATGTAGTCAGGAAATGTTCCACATTTCATGAAACCCGAGCATTTATTATGGTGTTCACAAGCACTCGCCTCTGGTCCATGTCCTCGGCCAGC